AAACAGTCCAAATGTCCAACCACAACTGAATGAATTGAGAAATTGTGGTATATTCACACAATGGAATACTACGCAGCACTCAGGAGCAATGATCTAAAAAAATTACTACGTAGTTTGGGAGAGAATGGAGAGCATTATGCTGAGTAAACTAACTCAATCTCTTAAGAACAAATATTGCATAAGACCATTGTTGTACAAATATAAGGATGGCTAGTAATACATGTATAAGCATGCAAGGGGGGAAGGAGCAGCGGGGTGAGACAAAACCATAGGGCTGCATAGTTTGGTGAGTGGAAAGAGGGGTGAAGTAAGTGGTAAAGATTCAGCTGGGACCTGAGAAGATTGGTTTATGATGGGTAAGTGGCAATGGTGGTTGATTTTATAAAACAACCTATGGGAATGATTGTATGAACTACAGTATAAACGAAGAAATGGTATGAAATATAATGTGTAGGAACTTTGTGAGCAAATTAATAGAAAACCAAAAAACCAGCTGAGATCTCATGCTCCCCTCCACACAGGCCCCTCCACACCATCACCACTGCCAGGTGACACCTTGGATGACAACATTGCTGCACTCGTAGTCGACAATGGCCATGTGCCAGGCCGGCTTTGGTGTGCCAGGCTGGCTTTATGGATGACAATGCCCCCCCCGCCCTGGGCTGTCTTCCCCTCCATCGTGGGATGCCCTCAGCACCAGGGCATAACGGTGTGCATGAGCGAGAAGGACTCTAATGTGAGTGACGAAACCCAGAGCAAGGGAGGCATCCTCACCCTCAAGTATCCCATTGAGCACGGCATTGTCACCAACTGGGACGACATGGAGAACATCTGGCATCACACCTTCTACAATGAGCTGTGTTTGGCCCCTGAAGAGGACCCTGTACTGCTGACGGAGGCTCCCTTGAACCCAAAGGCTAACAGGGAGAAGGTGGCCCAGATCATGTTCGAGACCTTCAACATCCCTGCCGTGTACGTCGTCGTGCAGGCCTTGCTGCCCCTGTATGCGCCTGGTGGGACCACCAGCATCGTGATGGATTCCGGCGATGGCGTTATCCACAGTGTGCCCATTTACGAGGGGTACGCCCTCCCCCATGCCATCCTGCGTTTGGACCTGGCTGGCTGGACCTGACAGACTATCGCATGAAGATCCTCACTGAGCGAGGCTACAGCTTCACCACCATGGCTGAGCGGAAAATTGTGCGTGACATCAAGGAGAAACTCTGTTATGTTGTCCTGGACTTCAGGAGATGGTTACTGCGGCTTCCTCATTCACCTTGGAGAAGGGCTACGAGGTGCCAGATGGAAAGGTCATTACCATTGGCAATGAGCATTTCTGCTGCTCCAGGTACTCTCCCAGCCCTTCCTGGGCGTGGAGTCTTGTGGCATCCATGAGACTACCTTCAACTCCACTATGAACTGTGATGTTGACATCCGCAAGGACCTCTACGCCAATACTATGCTATCCCATGGGAGCACCATGTAACGAGGCATCAAGGACAGGATGCAGAAGGAGAACACAGCGATGGCTTCCAGCACGATGAAGATCAAGATCATTGCTACCACAGAGTGCAAATATTCTCTGTAGATCGATGGCTCCATCCTCCCAGCACATGTGGATCAATCAGCAAGCAAGAGGACGATGAGTCTGGCCCCTCAATCGTCCACCAGCAAATGCTTCTAGGCGGAATGTATAGTTGTGTTACGCCCTTTTTTTTATAAAATAAAAAAACCCAAAACCTAACTTGCACAGAAAAAATACCCAAACAAACACAAAAACCAAAGGAGATGAGAATTGGCATGGTTTTACTTGTTACTTAAAAAAAATTTTTTTATTTGATGCAGGATTTAAAAACTGGAAAAGTGAGTGTAACAGCAGTTGGTAAGGAGCTAGAATCTCCCCAGTTCTCCAATGTGGCCCAGGACTTTGATTGTACATTATTCTTTCTTTTTTTAAATAGTCATTCCAAATAATCGCAACAAGGCCATGGCGATGTGACAGGAAGCTCCTGCCTTTCCAAAAACCTCTCCCTTCTGCTAAGCAGAAGGACTCCATCTTCCCATCCCAGGTCCACACATGGGTCGGGATAGTATTGCCTTTATAACTATAAACTATACCTGATGCAATTTTTTTTTGCTGTTGTTGTTAAAAAAAAATCTTCTGCCTTAATCCTTGTTCTTATAGCTTAGTTTCTGTTTTCAATAGCCAGCCATTGGAGGCCCTACTTTTTGGGGGCCCACCACCTCCCCCCAACTCTAGAAATATGAAGGCTTTTGGTCTCCCCGGGGTAGCTAAGATGTGGAGGCAGCCAGGGCTTTACCTGTACACTGACTTGAGACCAGGAGAGTAAGAGTGCACATCTTAAAAACAACAACAACAATAAAAACAAAATCCAACAAAAACAAAAAAGTGTACTGTGGGGGGTGAAGGGAGGAAAATGTGCAACAATGAATGAGTGAAAAATCCAAATTTTCTGTAAACTTTAATTAAAATAACAATAAAAATTAAAAAAATTCAAGAAAAGAATTGATAGTTTTGAATTGTGGTATTGGCAATTTGAATGGACTGTCAAAGTAGGTATAAATTAGTTTTGTAGAAAGTTCAACAAAGGTCCTTCTGGGAACATACCAATTGTGCTTCTGTAAATATTAATTGACAGAAACTCTAGGGGGTAGTTCCACTGTCCTTTAAGATTGCTATGGGTTGGAATCAAGTGGATAGCAATTGAGTTTTTAAAATGTACTTAGTTTTCCCCTATCTGGCTACGATGCAAAAGCAAATGATTTTCTCTTTAGTAATTCTACTTTTTAAAGCAAAATTTTCATTTCAAGAAAGATATATGCTTCATATTAAAGTTTTTAAGATGTGTACTTTTATTCTTCTGGTCTCAAATCAGTGTACAGGTAAAAGCCCTGGCTACCTTCACATCTTAGCTACCCCAGGGGGATCAAAAGCCTTCCTATTTCTAGAGTTGTGGGGAGATGGAGGAGCCCTCCAAAAGTAGGGCCTCCAATGGCTGACTATTGAAAACAAAAACTAAACTAAAAGAACAAATATTAAGGCAGAAGACTTTTTTTTAAACAACAGCAAAAAAAAATACATTATATATAATTTACACAAAAAGATTTTTTTTAAAAAACCCTACCTCTTCAAAAGGAGTAAACCTCACAAGTTAACCTATATGTTAAATAACAACAGTAATCATTGTTCTTAGAGTCATAGACCATTTCATAAGTATTTGTTTTTAAAACTTGTCCCAGAAGACATTTTTTATTTATATGCATGATACATCTGTAATACCTTTTGGTGGTGTATGAATTTTGATCAGATATTCAAGATCTTTTTGAGAAACAGCAATATTCTATATTCTGTTCTGTGGTTTTTCATATAAATCCAAACATTAAAAATATAATGCATTGCCAGGCCACTTGTCCAGATTTTTCGTTTGGAAAATATGATCTTTACAACTACAAAACATCAAACTGGATACAGTCCTGTCCTGAGGGCTTGCAGACTGAGCCTGGCAATACTTTGGGAAAGTAGTAATGTGAGTCCTTTGAAAAAATTATAAGTTGCAGGTGTTTAAATTTTCAATTACTTCCTTTTGGTCTTATCATTAAGTAACTAGTCCTAGTATCATAAGTACAACAATAACAACAACATCCAACCAAGGAGACCTAGGAGTGGTCTTTGGCTGCTAAACAAATTGTTGATGGTTTGAAGCCACCAATTCCTCAGTGGGAGAAGGATGTGGCATTGTTGTTCCACAAAGATATGGAAGTCTGGGAAACTATATGGGGAAAATTCTGTTCAGTCCCCTAAGTGTGGAAATCACCAGCAATGGGTTTGGTTTGGAGCTGGTTGGAGTTTGCTTAAGTTAACAGCCAACAATTTATTTTGGTTAATATTTATACTTAAGGAACATACGCGTTTCCCTTTCATCCATTTTCTTTCTTGCTTTCTTCAACCCGAACGGTCACGTCTTTTCTAAACTCCCGTGATATTAAAAAACCAAATAAAGTTCTCAAAGTCTATTTCGTTACAGTGCGGTCACAGGGCTTCAGAACGTAGCAGTTTTGTCCTCTGCGGTGATCCGTACTCCCGCCCGGCGTTTCCCTGCAGCAAGATGGCGGTAGCCTCAATGTCAGTGGCGCTGAAGCAAGCTCTGTGGGGGAGAAGGGCAGCCACAGTAGCGGCTATTTCCGTGTCCAGGGTTCCAAGCAGGTAACAAAATTGTCAGGCTTTTTTTCCGAGAGCTTCTTGGGTTCCTCTGTGTTTGTAGAGGTCTCTGCTGCCAGGTTCTCTGAGGCCTAGGGGGAAGCGTCCTTTGGTGACCCTTACCGCGGGAGACAGCGGGCGGATTTGGATTTGGGGGCGCTGACCGGGCGAGTAGCGGCATGAGTGAAAGAGGGAGAAGGAAGACTTTTGGTTTCTTGGGATCCTTTGGCTGTTGGTGGATGGAGAGGGCAGGGTGATCTCTGGAACTGCGAGCCGGGTCCTACCTCCGAGAAGGGGGAGGAGCCTCACCGATTTCTCTCCCCACTTTCCACACTCTTGTTATGCACCTGTTTGCCTCAAAGTCAAGACCTCACTCTCCTTTCCTCTCTTTTTAATACTATTGTTTGGAATCTTGACGAGTATTGTCTTATTCATCCTCCTGCTTAGGAAAAAAGCTTATTAGGTATTACATGATAGTGGGGGGAAAAGGGAAAAAGGATCTCTAGTAAAAATATTGGAAGATAATTTCCGGGCTGGGTAGTACTTCTACAAGGATTCCATCCTCATTTTATTAAAGCCTCATAATAATTCGAGAAATTTTGTTTTTTATAATGACTTCTGTGTTCTTTTTTTCCCATTGGTAATTTAAAATTAAAAAAGTAAGATTTCTTCCTCCATGTCCTATTTTCTCAACTTTTTCAAACTTCATTGTAGAGCACACCCCCTCTATAAATAAAAATTACTTATTTATAGTAGCATATCATAAGGTTTTATCTTATTTTCACAACTTTTTGGTATAAACGGCTTATTTATAGTGGCGTAATGGCTCATGTGGAGACTACATTAAATGCCAGGGTTAAAAGATGCCTGGAGAAGTGAGAAAGAAGTGGGAGGAATGGGCGTGGCTAAACACTGAAAGATGAGTATAATCATATGCTAAGTGTTTAGTGTTAGATTAAATAAATGGAAAGCGAATGCAGAGAGAACCAGAGTTAATTAGAATTTCTGGAGATGAGTTTTTTTAAGGTTTGAAATGGTGGAAGTTGAGTGAGGAGAGGAAAGTGGTTAGGTGTTGTGCTGCCAACCCAAAAGCACTAGGTTCTTATCCTGCAGTCGCTCCGCAGGAGAAAGATGGGTAGTCGGCTTGTTCGGACTTGAGGGTTTACAGCAGCAGCAGCAGCAGCAGCAGCAGCAGCAGCAGCAGCAGCAGCAGCAGCAGCAGCAGGAGCTCCGTAAGGAGCACTGGGAGCCCATTGGTAAGAGGCTGCTGCCAGTGACAGCAGCCAGTTCAAATCCACCAGCTGCTCCGAGTGAGAAACATGGATAGTCTCCTCCCGTGAGATTATCTTGCCTCTGAAAACCTACTGGAAGGTCAACTGTCAGTTGGAAAAGGTGCGGGCAAAGATACCAAATAACAGGTTAGAGCCACTGGTTGTGAAAAGGCTTGGAGGCAGATAGAAAGCTAACACCGTTACTGAGAAATAAAGCTGCTAAAATTGGGAAACTAGAAATTAATAAGCTTGTAGTTAACTAGGATTGACGGACTTAAAAGTATTTTTTAAAGTAAAACACCCTATTGGTGAGGTATAGAATAAAAGTGACCTAAATATAATACATTTATTTGCTCTCTATTCCGCAGCCTTTTTTTTTTAACCCCGCAGAGCTTAGGTACCTCTCATCTTGAGGTAAAGTTATTATCTCTCTACTTTATACAGTATTTCCTTTTTCATCCTTTAATGCTATTTTCCCATTATGACTTGAGAATAAGGAGGATCTGAAAAATTGAGTGGAAAAGAGCCAATAAAGGGGAAAATCTAAGTTGAAATTGAGTCTTGTAATGCTTAGAAAAACTTTTTCAAATGATGTAATATTTCAGACTAGAGAGAATAAAATGAGATTCTAATCAATAAGGTACAAGGTAGAGTAGGGAATGGGGAAGTAAACATTGAAGAAAAGGAACTGTCATTTAAAGAAAGGAGGTAGTTAGTTGCTCCATTAACTTCCAAATCAACTGAACTAGGGGAGAAAGCACCCTCAAACATATACATAAGCCAGAAAGTTAAGAATTAGTGTGCAAGGTGAAAGATCATCCGAGCGTGTTGATGGGATTAAATGTTGTAGGACCTTTTTTGTGAGGCCCATTTCGTGCTCCAATCTCTACTCCTGTTTCATTTTTCAGCTTCCAGGAAGCTAGTGTGAAATCATAAGTCTACATGAACCTCTAATAAGAGAAAACAATTTTTTGCCCAAGAGAGATTACTTTTGCTGCTTTTGAGTTGCCATGCTCATGTGGAATGATCATATCCCAAATTGGGGCTTCTCTTTCAGGGTAGATCCTGAAATGAAAATAAATGAGCAAAGTGAATTGTGAACTTTGTTATTAGAAAAATGAGTGAGAAATAGCCTTTGTTGTAAACAAACCATGAAGATGTTTGGTTTGTTGGTTACCTCAGAATGAACACACACTTAATAATAGCAATTTATTTCAAGCTTGAAATGTATCAGCCACTGTGCCTAAAAAAGAATTTTACCTGTCATACATTCCTCTGACCTCAGGTGTTCTTATTCTTGTTCTTCAGAGGTAGTAACTGAGGTACAGATACTGAATTGTGTTTACTTTGCTAGAAAGTAGTCAGATTTTGCTGTGCACTTTATTATGCTTGATACTAATATATTAAAACTTTATTCTTTCCTCCTTCCCTTTTGTAGGGTACATTTTGTATTTCAGAGTGTCTGATAGATTTGTGTTACTTCCATTCCCCTGTTCCATTAGCACATTGAGGGCAGTCAACTAAGGAGAGGATTTTTCTTCCCTAAATTTTAGAATTTTTTTTTGCTAAGTCTTTTTATAGGCAATTTGATTATTACACTGTACTACTTTCTTAAAATAGATATATGTGTTAACAGAGTGCACTGAACATTTTAGTGTTTATTAGGAAAAATAGTTATTTGAAAACCGTTATGATATCTGCTGTGCTTTCTGGCTGCTTCTGCCTGTCTTTTAATAGTGTTTTTGTGCTCTTTCTTTTTTTTTTTTTTGGTGCTCTTTCTTGACGAGTTTGCTCTTGAACAGTTTCACCACCATTTTTAATTTATTATATACTTGAATATAAAGTGACTCAATGTGATAGAGGATGCTCTTGTGACTTAGTGGTACAGGGTTATGTTGCTAACCCAGAGACATGCCATTTGAATCGACCAGTTGGTCTGTGGGAGAAACATGGGCAGTCTTCTGTGCTGTTTAAATCCACTGTCGGGTCAGCAAGGAGTCAGTTCCAACTTGATGGTAACAATAACAACCAACGATAGAGTGTAAAAAATATTGTATGTGTATTGATGCTCTGATGATGGCCACTGTTAACTTTGTTGAATTAAAACCTTGAACTCTTTTAGAGGCTAGAAATCACCAGGGAGGAGATGGCCCATTTCTTTTTTTTTAGTTTGTTTTTTTTTTTTAAATTAATTTTAATGAAAGTTTACAGACTTAGGGTTTTCCATCATTCATTGTTGCACTTTTCTCCCCGCTGCCCCACCCC